CGTGGCTATGGGGGGGGCCGCCCCCGGGCCCCCCAGTGTCCCTGCCCCCTGGCGCCCGACAACCTCAAAAGGTTGGGGACCACTGCCCTACAGTATATATTTTAGAAAAAAACCTAGTCTTGATTTAAAGACTGCAAGTGAAAGAGAATCTATCATGTCCCTAGGTTAAGTTGGTCTAATGGTTAATTACTTTCAATTAAAAATATGTGCCTCATTTCTTGTCTGATTTGATTTAGCTTCAGCTTTGTCATTGGACCTTATTATGCCTTTGTCTGTTAGATTACAAAATTACTATCAGAAATCTGCTTATACCATCTCTTAGATAAACTAAATAAATAGAACTACTTAAATCTCTATCAGGCACATTTCCCAGACTTCCCTGTTTTACCCTAGTGGCCTAAAGATTGATATGGAAATGAAAAAAGTGATGAAAGTAATGAGCTAACAGAAGGAAACAGAAACATTAAAATGCAGATAAAGATAGTATATTAGAAGAGCTAATTAAATCTAGCAATTAATTCCACTGAGAAGAAAAAGAGCTTTATTACTATGTATTATGTGTTTGGTGTTTCATAAAGCACAAATGTCAGCTGTGAAGAGGAGTCAGTATATAATACAAAGGCAGAGAAGTTAACATGCATGGGTGGGGGGTCAGAGGAGACAATAATAGGGATTTTAACCTTAACTCATTTGTGGAAAAGTGTGTTTGAACAGGGACTTGAACACAGGAAGGAAAGTAGTTTGGCGAATAAGGCTGAGGAGGACTTTTCATGCATATGGATCAGTGTGGAAAAGAAACAAAGATTAGAATAAGAGTAGAAGATGAAGAGAGCATCCAGGCTAGCATCACTAGTAGGTTCTTTAACAAAATATTTGAAAGGGAAAACTCACATCCAGTGCTGTAGATGAGATGTTATTAATAATAATGTGTTAAGGTAGCATTTTGGAACCAGAGCAGTTCACAAGAACATGTCTCCCAGTAGAAAATAAAAGTCTAATCGATAAATACAAAAAAAATGTTCCTTTTCCCTAACCACAATGAGCCTTATCATTGACCTCCATAACCTCAAACTCAGATTTCATTAAAGTGGATTGGCAAAACTGCTTAACACATGCAAACTCCTCTTGTTCATCCCAGACAAATTGAGCTGATATCCTAAATTTCTCTAAAGATTTTTTTCAACATCTTACTTTCTGTCATGTAAAAATGTTTAAAGGAGTTATAATGCAAAGAAACACCACAGATACAATGTGGGTTTAGAAATTAAGAAAGCTCAGCTGCTGTATGAAGTCATGAGCGAAAGACTCCAACACTAATGTTATCCTAACCACATCAGGCTTCATGCCCTAGGCAGATTGATGCCGTAAGCAGATTCACAAAACCACATGTTGCAAATAATCCAGAAAAAAAACCCTTAAAGGATATTGTTTCTCAACTCCTGAGCTATTTATTTCTATTTTACACAGATAGTAAGGCAAACACATGCATGCGCTGTACACTATGAAGCACTCACACAATAAGAAAAAAAAATCACCAAACATGACAAGGAATGAAAGTTAGGAATTCTGGGTTCTATGGTATTGGGTAAATTACTTTGTTCTTTTGAGTCTCAGTTTCCCCATCTGTATAATAGAGTAACAATTAACAATCATGCAGAGGTGTTATGAGTAACAATTAACAATCATGAAGAGGTGTTATGAAGTTTATTCTACTGGTGTGTCTAAAATGTTTTCTGGATCACATATGAAAGCTGCTATGGAAGTATTTAAAATTACCCATAAATATCTAGCATCTAGTTTTTCGATTCCTAAGCAAACTTCCTTGGATATCTAGCAGTGTCATTGTTTGCTAAGATCAAGGAAGGACTTCAGGAAATTGGACAGACTTTAGATTTCATGGGGCTTGCTCCAAAATAAGTCTACAATGTCAGTTAGAGTGGATGGTAGTTGCAGGCAACAAAACCTAGTGCATCCCACAGAACTTCACTATGGTCTCAGCAGAGGCTGCTATAAAGACCTGTATTATACATATGTCATAAGAAGAGTCAGAGAATACGTTTGAGGACACTTATTTCCTTATTAAATAACAATTTGTTATACCTGATCATGTCTGAATCTCGTCTGGCCTAGGGATGTGACTGTTTAACTGGTTAACCTCACCCTTCACAGGTGAGGTTTACTGGTTATGGTTAACAAACCAGAGCTGCAGCCCCCCACATGCTGCAGAAAGGGGGGGCTGCTCCGGGCCTGCCATGGGCAGGAGGCATTCCAGCCCAACCGGACCAGCCCTGGGCAGAGGCGATCCAGCCTAACTGAAACAGTCTCCATCTATGGTGAGGGGGACACTCCAGCCTGGTCGCAACCCCCACGGCCTCCATAACGCTTAATCAATTAACTCATTAATTGTGATTTTAAATCCCTAACCTGCCCTTGGCCTCTTCCATTCCTAATCTATCCTTTCCTGTATTTGGATGATATTTATTGGTATATATTAGCATAACTGATAAGATATTATGGTAATGGAAGACAGACAGCACATACACCCATAATCATAACAGCGCTTTCCTCCTATCATTGCTGTATTACAATTATTTTAAGCTCTAAGAGTATTTTACAATTACAAGAAAATAGTTACTTTGGTTCTCTTCTTTGGAAAGTTCAGGCATCTGCACAATCGAAAGAGGAGAGTTCTCTACAAAAATTGAGCAACTGGAGTTCTGAAACCAGACTTTATGAGAAAAGAAAAACGAAGTATGTGGGCCAGATAATTATATACATTAGATAATTATAAAGTTTTCACAGTTTTAATGAAGGGCTCTGGTGAGTATTGTTTTATCCCTACTAAAGTATACTATTTATTGTGCATGTGATATTAAACATTGACGGTCAGTGCAAAGTGGCAGGCATATTCTGGAAAAGTCTAATTCCAGGCCTCAATCAGTACCAAGCAGTCAGTTTCCATCTTTAAAGCTGCAGGTCACAATCTAGTCTCATTTCCCCTGAGAATTCTGAGACTGACATGACAGATGGCTGTGCTAACATTGTAAGCGTCACCAAAGTCCATTAAAAAAATCCATACAGGAAACTGAAGTCACAGCTATGCTAAAAGAGAGAACACCTCCCAGAAATAAGCTTCCAAGACCACTGTCACATTCATGTTCAGTAAAACTATTGGAAGAGAACTTACTCTTATATGAATCCAATGAAAATAAAGAACTCGGTCAGGACACTTGAAACTTCAATATCTTTTAAAAAAAGATCATGTACCCATGAAAGTCCTATAATGGAAGTTCTCTGTTTATCTACAAGATAGATACTCCATGGGTAATGAAGAATAATCTTCCCACCCTGTGCCTCAATCCTGACTTACACAGACCACCTCTGGTGGTGAAAGTGAAATGCAATTTATGTGGCATCAATCTCTGCTAAGATAATAAGGGGGCCAATTAATGGCAACTGTGATAACGCTAAATGTCTATCCAGTGAGAACAAGACTTAGACAAAACTACTTATTTTCCATAAACTACGAAATAGCTGATGAGGCCAGTTATGGCCTAACTTTGCCCCCACTTGCCATATTAGATTTATATTCCTAAGGCGAAGGATTTTCAGCTCTAAGCTGTCTCTCAGACACCTGCAAATACCCTCACGTAGCCTTCAAAAATCAGGGGACAATGGGTTTTATGAATACAAATTTTAAAACTTGTATGTGCACAGGTGTCAGAATAATTAAAAGACGTGCACAGGCATTTATCACAGATATTTAGCAAGTGTTTGCATATGAAAATTGCAGACACGTGTAATCATATATGCATACGCATAAGCAAAAACTGGTTAGGTACCTACCTGGAAATTACCTTAAAAGAGTTTGAAAAAAATGTTTGAAACTGATAACGGATGCTACAGGCCACTGTAACACTTACAAAGTGACAGATTTGTAAGTGTATTATTTTTGTAATATTTACAGACTTTTCAAAAAGTCAGAAGATGGGAGGTGATTTTAGTGGGAAACAATCCCACATTACTGTCTCTACCTAACTGTCCTCTGGACAAGGTGGGGATTGCACATATTAGGGTATTGAGAATTCAGGGCTCAAAACATTTATAAAGGAATCAAGAGTCTGGCTGGTGTGAAATACCCCAAAGACAGAGTGAATTTGTTACATGTGTTTCCCATTTTTCCTTAGCTCCCATGCCTATCCTAGTTTTTCTTTTTACTAACTTACAGAAGAGATGAGTGTATTTACTCCAATATTTTCCTTCGGTCTATCTGCAACGGTCTCCTTCCCTCACTGTATTAACTAAAATGAGTAAGCAAAAGCTCGCGGCGGATACGACAAGCTTCAGAGTCCAGTGATTCCATTTGTTCATATTCCTCCTCTGGTTGCTCCATCTGTCCAGTTGCTGGAGAAGACCACACATCTAGTCCATGTTCAAGAGAGATGTTATGAAGCACACAGCATGCCAGAATGATGTGGCTGGATTTCTCTGGCGAATACTGCAGGGTTCCTTTGGATCCATCCAGGCAACGGAACCTGGATCTAATGGTCCTGAATGTCTGCTCAATGACATTGTGAGTGGCAGAATGTGCCATGTTATAACGATATTCTGCGGTGGTTTCAGGGATATGCAGAGGGGTCATCAGCCATGTGCGGAGTAAAAAGGAGCTGTCACCTGTCAAAAGTTAAAAATAAGAGTGCTAAGAAACCAGTAGCAACAGCAAAGATTTCTGCTCTTTATTCCCAACTGGGGAGAGTAAATTTAGGCACCTATTTGTGGCCAGTTTCCTTGCACCATGGGTACAGACTGACTTCATTGACTATAAGCACAGAAAATGAGAGACTCCAAACAAATGTGACAAAAATTTAGTTAATTTGTCAATGAAACCAAGAAAGAGAAAAATCAAGATATTCCACTTCATGAGAGTAAATTCTGTAAAAATGTCGGAAGAGAGTTTTAGGATAACTGAGTCAGTACACCTAAGCAATGAATTTCAGAACTTAGGATCAGGACTAAGTGTAGAATACAAGGTATGTGCAATTCATTTTAGAAAAGACAGCATAATAAGGATAAGAACTGTGATGGATAAAAGGAGTGCTGGCTAGCACCCAGTGACTAAAGGGTTAAACTCAGGTCGCTTGCGGGTGGTGTTGCCTGAAAGCCAAAAGAGCCAATGGGAGACAGTGCTGAAATTTAAATTGTATATACCTTGCCTGGTTTTTTTTGTTTGTTTTTGGCCTATGAGTTAAGCAAGGAGTTGGGAGACAGAATGATTTAAACCCAGACAAGAATACCACGCCTCCAAGAAATTCAGGGGCAAAGAAGTGGACTGAACCACAAAAGGATCATGAGTTAATAAGGGAAAATGTGTATATAGCTGTGATCAGGGAATTTTTCTTTGTTTTGATTGTTTGGTTACACTTCTCTGTGTGAATCCATTCCATTTAAGTGACAGGCCAAAGAACTATGGTTCTTTGTGTGTTTGATGTTCTTTTCTTAGTTGCTCTGTAACACCTAGCAACCACGTATGCTTTATCAAGTATATCTTTTTGTTTTGTTAATAAAATCACCTTTTTTTAAGGCGATGATTTGATTCTTGTGTCTTTGGAGGTAACAGAAGGTCTATGTATGTGTGCCTAAGAGTGGGAGGTCAGCTACCAAAGACTGCAGTTTGTTTTCTCCATGCTCTCTGGAGCTTGGGGGTACCCCTCTGGAAGAAGTTCAAGTGTTTTCTTCCTGGGTTCAAGAAGAAAGGGGTTTCTTTTGTATCAGCTGGTGGTGGCAGCTACCTCCCAGGAGATTTGCAACTTTGGGATGCTTTTAAGCAGAAGCCTATAGAGGCAAGGTCTCTTGTGGGACCCCAACTTCTGTACTCAGAGTGCCAGAGTGGGGAACAGCCTTGACATGGAGTACAAAACAGAAAGATGGCTATATACAACCTCGGTAATTAGATTCTATGGGCACATCTACACAGCAGGGCAAAAGTTGAATTAAGATACGCAACTTCAGCTATGTCAATTGTGTTGCTGAAGTCAAAATAGCTTATTTCGGCTTTTGACGCTGTCTACACAGCAGGAAGTTGAAGGAAGAACACTCTTCCTTTAACTTCCCTTACTCCTCATGAAATGAGGATTACAGGAGTCAGAGTAAGGAATCCTCCAGTTCGCCATTATTTCAAAATAATGGCATGCTATGTAGACACAAACTTTGTTATTTGGAAATAATGTTAGTTATTCTGAAATAGTGCTGCTGTGTAGAGGTACCCTGTGAAAGACAGAGCAGGAAATCACTGCTCTTCCAGTCCTATGTGAGCCAAGAAGAATACACCTTGATACTCAGATTCCAGGATGAGTTTGCATGACTGAAGTTAGAAAAAGTATTTTCACTTGGAAACTGTCAGTTAGTTTGGAGTCAGAGAGATGAGAACAGTGGAACAAAGTTACTGTCAGTATAGAACCACATTTTAAACCTTCCCTGACATATTTTCCATAGAACATTGCCCTAAATCACTTGTATCTGGTATTTATGCTTGGGTAGGTGCATTTATATGGATTTATTAAGACAAATTAGAAATACCATGTCTTATTTGCCAGTGGAACCAAGAATGACTTGTATGAAAACACTTTGGTTGCTTGTTTTAAAAAACAAAAATATCAGGGCTTTTCACACCAGGAGTCTGTTTTGCTATCTTTCCAACAATCAAAAAGCAGCCAAAATGCAACAAACTTTTAGAGGAGATAAGAACTGGAATTAACTTACCAAGTAGCCAGCCATCTTTGTGCAATCCAGCTTCAAACTGGCTGCTAAGAGCTGCTTGCTGCAGCACAGTGCAGTCCGGCAGGCTGCCTGGCCAATGTGTCTCTGCACTCAGCAGTGATCCTCTAGCATCACACACCATCAGACAGTTTAAAGAATGCAGACCCTTTCGATTCACATAGGATAGGTCCTCAGCATTGGGAGCTTTGATTGCAACATGGGTGCAGTCAATCACCCCTAGCACTGCAGGCATCCCAGCTAACCCATAGAAGTCATCCTTCAGACTCTGCACAGAGGCTTCATCCTCTGGGAAACGAATGAATTGTGAGGCTCTTTCCACAAGTGCTTCAGTGACACTGGCAACACAGCGGCTCATGGAGGCCTGGCTGATGCCTATGGCATCACCCATGCGAGTCTGGAAGGAGCCAGAAGTGTAGAATCCCAATGCAGCAAGAATCTGTGTCTCTGGACTGATGGCTCTTGACCTCTGCGTAGGGCGAGAGAGGCTGGCTCCCAGAAGATCCACAAGGTAGTAAATGAATTGTCGGGGAAAACCATACATGGACAACAGGTATTCATCGGTGACATCCTTCAACTTGAAGCGATCTAGGGTTCGGTGTCCTCGGCCATAGAGCAAGAGGTCACAATCAAGAATTGCTATTGGAACAGCCATAGCCAAAGCTTGGGTGAGACTTGGAGCAGCTCTTGCTGCAGATCTTTTCCCAGTGCTGTCACCTGCATTGAAGTTAATTGAAGGGAGACTCAGAACTCAGTTTAAGAAGTTCAGGCTTTCAACCCTATTGCCATCTTCATTCTGCCCAGGTGACATAATTGGCAGCATAGTAAGAAACACACAACTCAGAGAAACTAGTCAAGATAATCTCTTTCTATTAAAAAAAATGTTTTCTTTAAATGCTGGGATCAGTTTTACTAGCAGAGGGAGGGTGCCCAGGAAATTGAAGCAGTCAGTACACAGTATGTGCGTAATAGCAGTCTGAGCTTCCCTACAGACCCATCAATATCTCAAACCTTTACAGAAGGGACTTTCTGCAGGAATGAGAAGGGAGTTCAATCTCCTTGGCTGTGTCTAGACTGGCCAGTTTTTCTGGAAAATCAGCCGCTTTTCCGGAAAAACTTGCCAGTTGTTTACACTGGCCGCTTGAATTTCCGCAAGAACACTGACTTCCTACTGTCTGAAATCAGTGCTTCTTGCGGAAATACTATGCTGCTCCCGTTCGGGCAAATCAGTGCTTCTTGCGGAAATACTATTCTGCTCCCGTTCAGGTAAAAGTCTCTTTTGCACAAAGCTTTTGCGCAAAAGGGCCAGTGTAGACAGCTCAGATTTGTTTTCCGCAAAAAAGCCCAGATCGCGAAAATGGCGATTGGGGCTTTTTTGCAGAAAAGCGTGTCTAGATTGGCACGGACGCTTTTCCGCAAAAAGTGCTTTTGCGGAAAAGCGTCCGTGCCAATCTAGACGCTCTGTTCCGAAAATGCTTTTAACGGAAAACTTTTCCGTTAAAAGCATTTCCGGAAAATCATGCCAATCTAGACGCAGCCCTTGTGACTTCTGCTGCAAAAGCCAAAAACGTGGCTAGGAATGGCAGTGGTTTCTAAGTTGTTAAAATCACAACAAACTAATCTCACATACACAGTACAATATTCAGTCCCTACAAGTTTACGTCATATTTAGAATACCAGTCTGAAACTACACAATCCACAGGCAACTACTTTATTTCTGCTCCATCACTGAACCAGTTAAGCAAGTTGGATGACTGTGTTTTTTTCAAAGCTAGTTTTCTTGTGCATAACCTAAAGTGGCTGTACCTGGCATGCAGTTTATGTAGATTATTAGAACAACAAAACTCAAGAGCTGCTATTACCAGAAACCTGGAGAAATAAAGTCTGCCCTTCAAACTCAAAGTCACAAGTTTCAGAGTGTGATAGTATGGATGTGTGTGGGAGTTTCCTTTGACTATGTCAGATCTCATCAGAAGCTACAGTAGGAGCATTAAATACTAGCTAAATGCAAATATATTCATATATATGAAATACATGGGCAGCAAGATGAATTTCACCTTTAGCTAGCACCAGCATTTCCAAAGGGACTAATGCCAAATGTAGTTGATATTCTATCAGATGTACTTAGGGCTTTAAAATACACTTACTAGCCACAGACCAACATGAAGGTTAAAAGTCCTCTGGAAATGCTGAGGCACACCCTAATGAGAAACCCAGTGCACCACACACACTTTTGTGGACTTACTGCATGCAGGAACAACAGAAAGAGTCCACCCTCCTCTGCAGATGGTGCAAAGGACAGGGGATAGTTTTCTCCTTTCCTCTCTCTCCATCCTGGAACATGGGAATTGCCAGACCCACACAGACCAATAGTCCATCTAGTTTGCTATCCTATCTGGCCAGTTTCCAATGGTTCAGAGAACAATGTTAAAACTCCCATAATGGAGAACTAAACACTACTGTGCCTACTAAGGAAGTTTCTTCCTGGCTTTAGTCAGTTAGTGGTTTCTGTAATGTCCTGAAGCATGAATTCATTTTTACTTTACCTGTTGTGTTCTTAATATGGGCATTAATACACAAGTTAACCGTAAAAAAGCTAAGGCTCCTTCCTTTGGGTGGGAGAAGGAAGTGAGCATATTCCATTCAAAGCTCAACTCTAATAATATCCACTTTAGTGTAATCATGGCTCTCTCTTTTTTAATGTACCTGGAACCTTATTTATTTTACCCGTGTTTCCAAAGCATGCTGCACTTTAACTTTGTCCAAGTGCATGACACAGTGCAGTGCCACGCCATGACCAGGGTACTTTCTATGCTAGAAGACAGAAATTTGGCTTTAACAACTAGGGAACTAATATGTAAGAACAAGGTCCCCTGATATGGATGCCTTTGCGGTGTCGTTAATCCCTCTAGCAGCTGCCTCCAGATGCCCCTCAAGTTACCAGGGGATTGGTGGGTGGATAAAATACAGAGGGAGGGAGGGTAGGAACGCAAGGAACCAGGGTACTTTCTATGCTAGAAGACAGAAATTTGGCTTTAACAACTAGGGAACTAATATGTAAGAACAAGGTCCCCTGATATGGATGCCTTTGCGGTGTCGTTAATCCCTCTAGCAGCTGCCTCCAGATGCCCCTCAAGTTACCAGGGGATTGGTGGGTGGATAAAATACAGAGGGAGGGAGGGTAGGAACGCAAGGATAATGGAAGTGAGAGTGGATGGGGGTCCGACTCCGAAGCGTAGGAGTGAGGCTCTAGGGGTGGAGGACGAGGGGTAGGTGGGGAGGGGCAGAAGTGAGGGGACAGATGGGGAGAGCAGGAGAAAGGCGGCGGGGCAGACGCAGAAGGCGGAGAGGGCCGGGGGAGATGGGGAGGGCCAGAGGTGAAGGGGCAGACGGAAAGGCAGGGGGGGGG